CCCTTCGCCGAGCCCACGGCGACGTAATGAATGAAATAATAAAACGTAACCTCATTAGGGAGGGTGTGCTCTGTTAGGAGGTGGGAGAAGGCCGCGAAGGAGGAGCAGGAGGGAGGCCTTGGCCCCCTCCGCACAGAGGGCTCCCTACACTCCCAAGCAGAGCTCCAGGCACCCCTCCCGGGAGGGAGCGGGGGGACGGGTTTGGTTTTGTTTTCTCCTTTTTATTCCCCACAGAACTGCCCGCCCCTGGGGCTGTCCGTGGGGACGGCGCCCTTACACACACGTAATTCCCACGGGAGCACCTGAAAACTCGAGGAGAAAACTGAGCTCCCAGAGAACGAGGCTTTGTAATGCTCCTTATTTCAAGGTTCGCCAGCAGCCATCAGGACCGGAGATGCCATGGACCAGGTTTCCTGGGGGAAATCTGCCCCCCTATAAAGAGTAAAAAGCCTGGCGTTGCCAGGTAGACTCTGTGCTTCCACCCTGCTCCAGAAGAGCGCACGGCTTCCAAAAGCATTTTTGATACACCAACGGGGAATTTTTTGCAAGCCAAGGGGACGTCCAAAGTAGCCATCTCCCCGCAGCCCTGCTCCTGCTCCGCTCCATCCCTCGCCAGCAGCGGCACAAGCACAAGGGCAATCACGGAATCAAAAGACCTTCAACATCGGAACGGTGGAGACGCTCTCACACACGATTCCTGGGCGAAAGACAACGTTTTGGGGAAGGTGGGGGAACCGAAAGGGAAAGCAGGTACAGAGGGTCATGGGTGTCGAGCAGCAAACAGCGTTTTGTATTTTACAGACCTGCCTGCGACCCGCCTTGTTTAATTCACCCCTCTGCAAATTTGTTCCCCCTCGAAGCTGGCAGATTGGCAGAAAGCTTTTGAGGACACTAGGCCTGGCGAAAAATACCACAGAATAACTTCCTATACAGGAGTAAATTTAATAAAACCACCACCAATTGTTTACTTTAACATAGCTCTTGTTACAGAAATCATAAAAATGGACTCAGTAACTAACTCATTAGTTCTTTCCCCTTTTAATTGAAAAAGACCCCACTGATTTCAACTTCTACTGCACTAGATGGAGCTTTAAATATTTGCCAGGACAGTATGCCCAGAAATTGAGCCCAAAACAAAACACAGAGACAATTCCATCATCTTTCCTTTTCAATGTACGACTCATTATAAAGTAAGTGAAACTTAGAAACAGCAAGGAACGGTCCATTTGACAGATGAAAGCGGGAGGAAGAGGAGATCCACAGCTGAAATCTTGCCGTTAAGTCTTTTGAGAAGGGGTGCGAGATACCCCTCCTTCTCCTGCCTCGGAATTAAAAACTCTCCACACACACACACATACACTCCCCCCTCCTCTGGGTCCAGAGCGCATGTCCTGCGTGCGTGGATGCGAAGAGCAGGGTTGGATCAGGGCAGGTATTGAGAATCCAGGGCCAAATGGGGGGGGGGGAGGAAAAAAAAAAGGCAAAGCATCCTGAATCGCAGCATCCACAGGTCGCTAACACGATGCACAGGGCAGGGGGCAGGTTAGCGAGCGTCAGGAGCTGCGTGTGAGAGGACAGGGCCGTCGCCAGCAATGGATACATACACAAAACCGTGGATGTAAAGGAACTGCAGGAAGAGGAGAAACCCAACTTCTCTCATAAAAGCCTTCCAAAAAAAAAAAAAAAAAAAAAAAATTCACTACACCAGCACACACTTCTCCCACCCCAGCCCAGGGTAAACAAAAACAAAACAAAACAAAAAAATAATGAAACTGAAAGAAAATGCACAGCAAATAGACATAATCTTGAAGATTTTTAAAGAATAAATATTTTTTTGTAATTAAACATTATGCAAACACGTGCCACGCTTGCTCTTTGTCCATGCATATGCGCTATATACAACTTTGAAAAATACTGTGTTGTCCTCTTTTTGTTTTAAAAGTCATATACAAAGGTTTTTTTCTTCTTTTTTTTTTTTTTTTTTTTTTACTCTCCTTGCTGTGTACCCCCCCTCCCTCCTCCCCATCCCAAGAATCATCTTTACAACGAGCCAAATCGACATTCATCCATGTACTTGGGTGGCAGAGAGGAGGAGGGGGGCAGGAAGAGCCACCCTCCTCATCCCTTACCAAAGTACATCAAAATGGCTGGTTTGGACATGAAAAGCAGTGTCAAGAAACTGGTTTAAATTTCATCTGTACTACACACAGGAAAAGAAAAGATAGAAAAGAAAAAGGAGTCGCCTTGGAGAATGAAGCTACGTTACAAGTTAAAGTTGGAGGGTTGTTGGTTTGTTGGTTGTTTTTTTTAGTGCGTTTGTCACACTTGTATTGGCCACCTAGAATACTGTTGCATGATGGTTTTTCTACCTTATTTTTTTTTCCTTTTTTTTATTACAATATAATTTACTTAAATTTTTCTGTTAACAAAACAGAATCCCGGTACTACAGCCCAGCGGTCGTAACAGGCGTAGTGGCGCCTTTGCGTTCGTCTTGATTCCAATCGCAGGAGCAGTCTCGATGGTAAAAGGTTTCAGAGTTCATTTTATGCGGGGCCGCTGCTTCTCAGTCCTCGATGTACTCCCACAGGTCCTTCTCGTAGCCTTCGTGCACGTGCTGCAACAAAACCCTTCGTCGACTCTCGCAGTATCTGCAGCAAAGAGGAACGGCACAGGAGAGGCAGGTTAGGAACAGAGTAAACCCAAATCTAGGTTACGTCTCGCTTCCAAAAGAAGCACCAAAAAGGGTTATGGGTCTGGCTGGAGTGCAAGTCTGGGCAACCCACGGGTCTGAGAAGGGCACTACACCCCGCAGGGTCTGCCTGATAACGTGCATTTAAACAAGCTGCAATTAAAACCGACTCCAGAGCTGGGTACAGCTCTACCAGGATCAGCGATATTGAGGCAAAGAGATATCATAGGAACATATCAAAAGATGCCACTTTCGTTTGGGGCACATTTTAGCCAACTACAAAGATTAAAAGGAGAAAAACATTTAAAGTATTCAGAGTTCCAAGTGAGGTGCACAGGAGGAATCTCTCAGGGGAAAACTATCCTTGATCATGATGCATGGTCCCACACACGCAGAAATCCCTCACCTCAACCCACAGCCCCTCACGCTGCTGCTGTTCAGCACCTGCTCAGACCGGCAGATTTATCCAAATAAAACTGTTCTTGGCTCTCCTCGCTGCTACGAGCTGTTGCAACAGAAATCATTGTATGCAGCGTCCCATTGATTTTCCTGAAGCATGTGACTGCAAACATGCACAGTTTCTGCCTTCCCAACTTCAGTGATTCTGCTGCTGGTATGTGTGTGTGGGTAGGTGGGGGGGGTTAATCCTGTTTTCTAGAACTGTCTTTGCAAGCGAAGAGATTGAAACAGCCAAAACCAAACTAGCTAGATCAGGTCCTGCCATTTCCCAGAGCTCTTTAAACCCACCTCGATAACATCCCGGCTGCACGTCAGTGCACCGTAACCAGTACGCAAGACACAACTGAAACATGACTGAACTAGTTAATTAGGGACCTGCGCAGGCTTGACAGACACATATTGCTGTCCCAGAAGGCAGGTTTGGGATATTATGTTTTATGTTTGGTTATTATGTTTTCAGGCAATTCAGGCTATATTAGGTTTTGTATTTCTTCCGGAGAGCTGTTACCATCCCTAGAAGAGCACACGGTTCTGGAGGACCTAAGCGAATACACAGCTCGATCCAAGATACCAACTTAATGGTGGTCTTAAAGGGTAAGTTAAAAATATCTCAAAAGAGAAGGTCTGTACTGCCAGACTATGTCATGGGCTCACCGAAGCTTAATGGCTACTTCCACTCCCTAGAGTCCCTCAGTCACTACAGTTCACCCTAGTGTGGCTTTTTTCCCCACCCAGGCTAGGCACAACAAATTCATCGACTTTTGGCAAAACGCTTCAAAAACACAAGCCGTAATCCCCGTGACTCATCCAGGCTCGCAGCTTTGTATTTTTCCACTGTGGAGGGGGCAACTCCCCCAGGCCTGTAAAGAGTTGGCGTTCATGTCACCTAGACCTCAGTTTTCCTGTTCTCTCTTGCCAGAATCCACTCGAGAGCTTCACTGCTCACGATTTCACTACCTGTCACACAGGCTGGCAATACTTAGGGCAAGCTTTGAAGTAAAGGATTATTCAAAGAAAAGAAAACAAAACAAAAACCCCACAAAACAAAACGCACAAACCTGTACTTATCCTGTACTTTCTGCTTTATGTCTTGCAGCGAATCTTGGGATATATCTCGCTCCAGGTACCCAGAAAGCACCTCTGTAGCATTCTCTAAGTCTGCTTGGTTATTCTGCAAAGACATAGAAAAAAGAAGAAAAAAAAAAAAGGTTTTCTTTCAAATCACCTGAAATCAGTATTGCAATAAAAAGCAGGATTAGATATGCACTGTGTAACACTAATAACCTGCTCTGAGCATCAAGACTGAAAAAATCCTAGATTTCTTCATTAGATCAAAAGAGAATGTGCGTTATCTACCATCAAGACCACTACCATCTGCAATATCCTAATATCCCAGCAAGCCTAAAAAAAAAAAAATAATACTTCCTAGTGGTATAGTGCAATACAAGCCAATTCACCTCCCATCCTGTCCATTGCTGTTTGGGGTGTTTTGTTGTTGTTGTTTTTTACCAGCACTGGAAAAGCCTCTACCGACTCCTGGTACAAACACAACAGTGTCAGAGCACTGC